TAATTGCTACAGATGGCTGTACATGCTGGTGGGCGCAAGCCTAGCACCCAAAGTGTTCTAGACGGGACCCTGGAATGACTGCCTGGGTTAAAATAATTGCAGATGATATCCTCAGTATAGGTGAAAGGAGCAATGAAACAGAAGCTGAACAAGACCATGACAGAAAACTACAGGCTTTTCTACAGCAATACAAGGACAAGAACATAAAACTCAGCCAGAAAAATGCAATTCAAAGAGCTCGAGGTGATATATATTTTGGGACATCTGCTCACAGCAAAGGGACTGAAAGCAAATTCTAACAAGATCAAAGCAGTCAGAGACATGCCTGTGCCAGTGAATATGCAAGGGGTATAGCTCATAGGAATGATACATTTTCTGTCCAGTTTTTCTCCCTTCCTGTCTGCAGCAGTGGAACCAATACATCAACTCACAAGGCAGAATGCTGAGTGGGCAGGTTCCCAACAGCAAGCATTTAACATACTGAAATAAATTATAATGGATGCTAGGAGAGCCACTGACAGTCCAGTGTGATGCATTGGAGAAAGGTTTGGGTGTAGCTCTTTTACAGAAGCAGCCGGTTGCTTATGCCTACAGAGCCCTGTCAGAGATTGAACATGGGTATGCCCAAATAGAAAAAGAGTTTGTGGTTCTTGTATTTGGGGTTGAGTGATTCCATCAGCACACTTATGATCACTCATTAATAGTGCAATCAGACCACAAAATTCCTAGAGACAGTCATGGCAAAGTCCATTCTTAGTGCTCCAAAGAGATTGCAGTTCATGTTGATGCACATCCAGCACTACCAGGTAGAGATCAGATGTTGTCCAGAACAATTACTGGGGTTAGCTGACACCCTGAGCAGGTCATATATACCCAGCACCAGGGAGTTGGAGGAAGAGAAATCAGGATATTAAATCCATTAACTTGCTGCACTATCTTCTAGGTTAAGCTGATGGAAATCAAAGACATTATGAAAAAAATCCAACTACAGGCAGTCAAGACAGCAATACTAGCAGGGTGGCCAGAAGGCATAAGCTAACTACTGGTAGGAGCAGAACCATATTTTCAAATTAAAGATGAGCTGAGTTGCAGGATATAATTATATTTTGAGGAAGAGAGCTATTGTCCCCACCTCATTGCATTGGGATGTCATAAAAAAAATATGCCTCACAACTGGGCATGACAGCTATCTTAGACAGGCTCAAGAGTATGTTTACTGGCCAGGAATGTATACATTTGATAGAAGGGTGTGACACCTGTTGTTTGTGTGATAACCACTTGCAGAAAGAGACTGTTACCACATGAGCTGCCCACCTGACCATAAGAAAAAGTGGGAGTGGACTTATTTACCTTCAAGGAAAAACAGTACTTGTTTACAGTGGATTACTATTTGTATTTTTGGGAGTTTGATGCCCTGCCTGATACCATAAGCAAGTCAGAGATCAGCTATACCTTTTTCATATCCACTGGTTCTGGAATGTCTCTGTCTGCCTTGATCTTTAACTGTCCCACTCTCCTATGGTACCAGTGCCCTCAAGTTAGGCATTATGGCTCAGATCCTCAAAGATATTTAGGCTCCTAATTGCCTTTGAAATCAATGGAACAGTGGTTCGCAATCTATTTACCACTGTGGATTGCATATGCAGCTCTCTAATATATATACTACCTGTATGGCCGTGAGGATGTCACATGGGTTGCAGCTGTGTGCTGATTGGGCCATGGGTTGAGAACAACCGCAATGGAAGTTAGGAGCCTAAATATCTTTGTGATCCCATCCTATGCTTCGCAACTTTCTAGAAAAGTTATTTTATACAGAAAGCTAACTTTCATAGACACAATGGCTTCTGGTCAATTAGGAAAGAAAAAATCTAACTAATTTATATCAATCTTTGAATAGAGTCATAGAATTTAAGGATAGAAAGGACCACAAGATCATTTAGTCTCACCTCATGACATCTTTCCTAACAAAGCAATATGGTTTATATATGCACCAGAGGAAAAGGATTTGGATAGACAAATTACTCAAAAGGAATGGGCTTTGATCTGGAAAAGAAGATGACCAGAAACTTCAGTTTGTAGTACAATAAAAGAAAATTTGTTTAAGATCCTGTTTCAGTGGTACCTTGCACCAGTCAGGTTAAAATGGAAAGAGACATTGAACAGAGGAAACGTTGGAGAAATTGTGATGAAAGAGGAGATTTTATGCATGATGGACATTTTCAGTCATTAGAGAGTATTGGGATGCAATTAGTAATGAAATATTAAAAATTGTTGGGGCTTCATGGTAGAAATGGTCTCACTCAAAGAAATGAAGAATTAGTCACTCATGTGCTACTAGATTCCAGGCTACTGATTGCCTCTCATTGAGAAAAGAAACACAGCGCAAAATTAGAGAAGTGGTCCTAAAAAATAAGGGAGGATGTTGTTATGGAAAAATTAACCTTCAGTTACATACCCCAGTAAAATAGAAGACAGATGCTTAGATACTTGATTACTATTTATTCAATACTCAGACAATGTACATTCGCCTGCAAAGAAACTACCATGCCTGTCCAATTTTTTTGGAATATTAATGTTTGATAGAGACACCTGGTTTGATAAATAGTAGTCAGTCGTTTCATACAATTTAATAAAATCACCAGAAACAAGACAGGCTGGTGGTAAGAGGCTCACTTTGTAATATGATAACATTCTGATAAATAGATGTTCACTATTATATCATTGCATAATGTTTCTCTAAACAAAAATACAAGCCCAGTGTTGTAATATTAATGTTTTATTCCTGATATTTATATGGCAATTATTGTAAACCTTCTTAAATAAACAGTTATAAAAATGGTTAAGAGGTGCAGTCCTTCTCAAATATACGTTTGATTTAATGTTTGGATAATAATTGAAAATATTTAAATAAATTTTAAAAATGAGATAATATCCTGACTTACTTTTAATCGAGAAGGCAACAAATACTGAGTTTCTGATTACTGCCTTTAATATCCAGTTCAGGAATGTAAATACAGGGCTAGTTAATCTCTGTTCAAATCTCTCGACAGTAAATAGCCTTCCTGCTTATGAAGAGTCATGACCTGGAAGTAACATTGTAAAAATGTCATTCATCAGTGTCAAAGGAGTCCTGTTGAAAAGGATGAATTTCAAACTTAACTTCAAAGGTTTGGAAACCTTACTACTTTGTGTTTGAAGATATTGTGCAACTCTGCTTTTAGGAACAGCACAAGTACAATGGAAAAAGGTTTCTTCATCTCCTGAAGAGGATATTTTCTCATGACTGGGCTTTTTTCTCTTTTTAGTGAAAGTAAAACTGTTGATTTAATAGGGAGATGCTTTGTTGCTTGAGCTCTTTTACCAGTCAGACTGGGAAAGTCAATAACTAGCAGTCTTGTTAACTAGACTTAGTTTTAACAACCTTTTGGCCTTCACATTGGTCAAACAATGGGTCACAAAGACCTCTAAAATACTTTTGTTGTTTTGGTGACATTCTGGAAGTTATTTCTGTACTAGGACTGCAGGATCTGAATGATTGCTTCAGTCTGATAGTGGGAAGACAATGGATATGTCTACACCAGAGCAGGAGGTATAATTTCCACCTCTAATCAAGCTAGCACCCTACAAATAGTAGTGTCACTACAGTGTTGCAAGTGGCAGGATGGTCTAGCTGCTTAAGTATGAATCTATGTTTCAGATGGGATCGTACGCAGATGGCTAGCCCATCCTGCTGCTCACATCACCAGGGCTATATTTCTACTTTTAGCACACTACCTCAATCAGAGCTAGAGCAGGTATGTATATCCAAGCTGGAAATTACACCACCAGTTGCCAGATATACCCAGTGTCTGTCACTTTCTCCTGCACTATGTGAAGAGCACAGTCTGTCTACTATTCAGAGATGCTAATCGCATCAGTGAAAAATGAACCTGCTTGAAACAAGGTGTTTTTTAAACTTATCTAAGTGTCTGATGTTATAACAAAAAATAATGCTGTTAATATATCAAGCTTTTCTAATTAAAATGTTTATATATTAAAATAGTTAATCTGTTTCTGAAAATATCAGTTCACTTATATGTGATAGAGTTAACTGTTTCCCCTTGAATAATTAGAATAACCACCTTTTCTTTTGGGTAGGGATATCTGTGCTTGCTATGTGCAAGCTTTCTAAATACTCAGCTAATTTAAGTCTTTCCCTGTAGGATTTTCAGGGTAGGTTTTACTTAAATGCCCAAATTAATAGAAGGGTTCAGTCAAAATATTCCCTTCAGCTGGCTTATCAAGCTTGACCATGCTAATTTTTTAGTTGCTCTCTTTTGGTAAGGCTGGACTCACAACAGTATTACTCTAGTTTTACACTGGAATAAATCCACAGAAATGAAGTTACACCTGTGTAAAACTGGAATAATGCAGCAGTAAATGAGGTTCATAGTTAAAGAAAAAGACATAACTTTTCCATATGAGAGGGTGAATGGAGAAGAAATCTCATAGGACAGATGCTGGTCTTCCTGTTTATCCTTCACTCTGGAAGGCACCCACATACCACGGTAATGGGTATGGTCTAAACAATATAGAATAGAGACATAGGGATGGAAGCACTATCTGACAGCCCTTCTTAGGGCAAATAAAGATTGGGAACCATTACATTAACTATGGGTTGTATGACCAAATCCAGGTCTGGCAGGATGTAGTTTTGAACTCTCCACACTTGGGATTTTGAGAGATGGAACTTGGTGGAAATGAAAGTTTACTATTCAGCCAAGCATATTATTTATATGACCTACTATCAGATCTACAGGGGAAAATATCCGTTTGACAAAAAATAATGAACACAAGCTGCTAATTTAACTATATATTGTTCATATGGCAGCACTATTGTGTGGCTATTATTGTTGCATTGATTCTTCCACAGTAGTCCACTGCCTGTTCAAATAACATGCTAAATGGATGGTAGACTATAATCAGAAAGTATTATAAGGTATTTATACTTGATAGGAAGTCCAGAATACATGCTGGAACTGCCATGCGTAAGGGCTTTGAAAAAAACACTGTAGCCTCTGACCCTAACTTCAAGCTAAGGTAAGAATCATGAACTAGGATTCTGTCTATGTTTGAAGTCATCCTTTAGCTTTAAGGCTCCTCCCCTTCTGTCCCCACCCCTAAAGACCTGGTATTTCTATGAGAGTAAATAAGTTACAGTAATCTGAATAAAAATATTTTTTGTCTCTAAATCTATATTTGGAAAATGTGTGTTTTTATTATTAGAGCTTCTCCATGTGAAGCTGAGCTTCAGGAATTAGTCCACCAAATTGACATCATGGTAAACAACAAGAAACTGGAATGGGAAAGGAAGGTGCGAGCTTTAGAGGCAAGAATGGATGTCCGGGATCAAGAATTAGCAAATGCCCAAAGCAAGTTGGATCTGAAAGGTCAAGAGGTACGTACATGAATACCATCTCCTATAAAGAAAGCATTTAATTCTGGGAGTTAGTTAATAGCATGCTTTATAAATATGCCTATTCAGTGTATCACATCAGAATACAGAACAAGTTCTTTAAAGATCAGTAATGATCTCTGATATTTTGTATTAAAATGTGGTTCTGCTCTGAAAAATTACTGTAAAAATGTCATTGAGCGGTTCAATATTTAGTGTGTCTCAATTATGTCCAGTTCATATATGTCCACTGTTTACAAGTAAAAAGTTGATTTGATGGTTTTTCTAAATGCCAGCCTAGCTAATTCAATCTGGGATTTTAAAGTCAAAATTGGTTCATAGAATCATAGAATATCAGGGTTGGAAGGGACCTCAACAGGTCATCTAGTCCAACCCCCTGCTCAAAGCAGGACCAATTCCCAACTAAATCATCCCAGCCAGGGCTTTGTCAAGCCGGGCCTTAAAAACCTCCAAGGAAGGAGACTCCACCACCTCCCTAGGTAACGCATTCCAGTGTTTCACCACCCTCCTAGTGAAATAGTTTTTCCTAATATCCAACCTGGACTTCCCCCACTGCAACTTGAGACCATTGCTCCTTGTTCTGTCATCTGCCACCACTGAGAACAGCCGAGCTCCATCCTCTTTGGAACCCCCCTTCAGGTAGTTGAAGGCTGGTATCAAATCCCCCCTCATTCTTCTCTTCTGG